GGCCCCCAGAAGGCAGGACAAGCCTTCCTCCCTCAGGGTCTGTCTCTGCAGAGAGAGACGACACCTGTTGACAGGCGCTGGCCACCTGCAGCCAGTCTGGCCCTTCAGGCTGACGCAGAGCAGGTGTTTTCCCTTCTCTGCACCCCGGCTGTGTCAAAGCGGGCGCTTGGGCCTCCGCAGACGGAGCACGTGATTGACGGGCTGCCCAGGGCTCCTACTTATGTGTCTCTCCTCATCCAATTACTGGGGTCAAAACTAAAATAAACACTAATTAATGAATGAAATAAGTAAAGGCAAGTCTGCCCACCGGCCCTCAGGAAACTCAGGGAGAGGGGAGATCAGTGCCGAACCTGTCCAAATGCTTCTTGCTAGAATTTCTGGGGAAAGGTCTGACGGAGGAAGAGGGTGAGTCCACCCAGATGCTCCTAAGATTGCGTCTTTCTTCCTCTTCCCCTCACTGTGGAAGTAGAACAGGACGTTCACGAAAAGTATTCTTTTTTCTTCTAAATTCTTCATTTGCCTGTTCCTTCCTTCTGGAAACCATATGTGGATTCTATCCAGTCAAAAATGAAAACCAAATACCTCCTCTGTGGGAGTGAAGGAAGCAGATAGACAGGCAGCAGAGCAACCAGCTGACGGTTAACACTGGTGGCAGAACCCAGAGCGGGGGTGCCCTGGGGAGGTGACAGGACAAGCGAGGGACAAAAGGGGACAGGCCTGCCATGATGCGGGAAGGCCTGCGAGGGGACTCGGTGGAAGTTTCTAAGATGAAAAAGCTGAAGAGAGCCCTGGCCCGTGTGCAGCTGGACCAACCAGGTCCAGCTGACAGCCTTAGATATCGGCCAGAGCTCACCAGCACTGAGAACATCCAAGATGGCATCATCCGCACCTTCTAGAAGGTTCTGCCATCTTGGAACTGGAGTTCCAAGGGCTGGGAATGACTAAAGTGGTGGAGCACTGGCCTTTGGGACAGCTCCCTTGTTACTGTCCTTCTGCTCAATGCAAGCCTCCCGCAGGGCTGCCCCGCTGACCGTGACAGACTGCCATGAGACTTGAGCCTGCAGGGCAGTCAGCACTCACAGACTCTGCAGTCTTCGGGCTGGTCAGTACACTGTGTGCAGAAGCACCAGGTTTCCACCAAAACACTCAGTGTGGACAAGGGACCAAGAACACCTCAGATCCACTCAGTGCGGACGAGGATCCAAGAACACCCCAAATTCAAACAGTACCACTGGGCATAGGTGGCCTCCAACCAGCAGTTTTTGAGCTCAGGGACTCAGGTTGACCTGGTCAAAGTCCTCCGAGAAATGTGCGGCGTCCGAAGGCCTCCACAGCCTTCCCTCCTGCTCCCTTCCAGTGGGGGCGACCGGCACTGTGGCTGTGCTGTACGTAACCGTCTCAAAAACTGCTTCTCAGAGACCCAACCAACATCATTTCCAACTAAGTAGCTTCACTTCCCTTCCTTATCAAAGGACTGGGTGGTTAGCTCCTCACAGCTTTGTCTTTCTGGACTCGAAACACAAACAAACAAAGCACTTTTCCCCACTTCTCAGCATCACGCTGCGGCCTCACCCGTGGCCTGTTTTAGCAAAGGCGTCCAGGGGACATCTGGGAGCTGACTGGTGCACTGGTCAGCTTTCTTATACCGTAACAAATAATACAGACGAGTCCGCTTTTGAGGAGTAAAGGGTTATTTGGGCTCGGCTTTAGAGACTTAGGTCCATGGTTGCTTGGCCGTTGCTGCGGGTCTGTGTCAGCCAGGACACCCTGGTAGGTGTGTGTGGCAGAGGAAGGCTGGTGGCCCCCTGGCAGCCAGGAGGCAGAGGGAGAGAGGAGGGGCCGGGGTCCCAGGGTCCCCTTCGAGGCGTAACTTCCTCCAGGTGGGGCCTCCTCCCCATCCTCTACCTCCGCCAACTCCCGACAGCGCCTCAGACCGGAGACCAAGCTCCAACAAGCAGGTCTCTGGAGGACATTTAAGATGCAAACTCTAGAGCC